TTTACACACAAATATTTTACCCCTTTAACTGTACAGTTGTAGTTAAAATGGTACCACCCTCCTAGTGTGGATGCAGTTATATCAGTATAAATGTGTTTATACTGGTATAACAGGTATACAGCACTTTTACACTGATATGGCTGCATCCACACTAAAAGTTTTACTGGTATAACAATTTCAGTAGAAAAAAATCACTCTCCTAACTGAAATAGTCATACTGGTACAGACTCCACATGTGAACCAGTAAATTCTACCAGGTTTTCAGAGGCTATACTGTTTGCAAATGAGATCCTTGATGTGAAGTAGGGTTTTTCCATGGGTTGGGAGTGACTAGACTCAATGTTCGGTCCTTAGGGCTCATGTGAAGCCAATCTCTACAAAAGTAACTTGTATGAAGGTAAATATCACTAGTCACCACTTTTGCACTTAAAAAAATTGGTAAATCAGTTGCTCCAGGGCATATATAATGGCCTTCAGAAATTGGAAAACGGCTGTGTTTTTCTGTGCTCACATATCTATTGGCACAGCTGCTTCAGCCATCCGGGCATCTGAATTATTCTGACATCAGAAAAAACATTGAAACAGAGACTGATTATGGTCACGTTGCTGGTGTTATTTTAATAATGTGGGCTGCTGATCACTGGGGACAGAGCTGTGTCACCTAGCACATTGCATTAAGAGTGTAGGTAGGATTTACGTCAAGGGCCAAGAAGTAGGACGTTAGGCTCCCTAGAATGATTATTTCTTATTTCCTATCAATCTGCAGTGGCTGTCCTAGGAATAGCCTAATATTACTTTGCAGTTTCATACATCTGCTCTACTGACTGAAGTAAATTACTGTCCCTGACTAGATGAAAGCCAGACAACTGCAAAATAAATAAAAATAAAACCCATATGAAAATATAGTAGTTTCTAAAGCTGTTCACTTATATAGGGTCAAACCTGAGGGCCTTGGTCACTATTTTATCACTCTCTATTCTGGTAAAACTCTTATCAAAGTTGACCAGAGCTTTGCTTTAAGCCAATTCAAAGTAAAAACTCAGAGACAGGTGCTTGGCCCCAACTCCACCTGCTTTGTACTAGTTTCAGCACTGCTGAGTCTGCACAAAGCTGACCTATTGCTGTCCTAAAGGTGGGGCCAAGAATACCTCCAACCGAGGGGAATCATTGGGTAGTGTAGCCAGCTCTGTGTCATCTGTCTAGAGGGCGAGGGAGGTGCTGTTGAGAGTCGGACAAAGCTCATGGTACTCTTCCTGATATATGTGGATGGCCACACTTGGTATAATTTAAAGTAGTCACTGCTAGCCCAGGATCAAAGGGACAAATGAGTGGTTTAGAGCCAACTTTCCTTCTCCCCAGCAGCTGCACTGAGAATCTGGTCCTGAGTAAGGTCCTCAGGATTTGGCCCACAGAAGTAGGCGACATGAAATAACAATATCGTTAAGGGGGGTCTTGAGTGAATGAGGCATGCAGGGTTTGGCTTAAAGTATATTTACACAATTCAGTTTCAAGATCTTTACTTGTTAATATTTTCCTTTAAATATTATGCTTTTCCTTCCAAAAGTAAAAGTTGTGGTATAAAAGTGAATACGATTTTATTTGTTTGTTGTCATGTTTTATTTTTCTGTTTTACTTCAGGGAAAGCCCCCACACTGCAGCTGAATAAACTGTAGCATAGATTCCCCAGCTAGGACTTTACATTCATAAATAACTAAATCCCTATGACCAGATTAGAAATTCCTGCTCTTTCTGCCAGGTCCTGGATACATGTCTGACATCCAAATGTCAGGATTCCATGCCAATCATGGTCTTGTCAGGCTGCATAGAAGACCCACAGGACACAGGAGGATGCTCTTTTCTCAGAGGAAATATTCAGAATGCTGCCTGTGATGCTGAAGAGTGATTTAGATAAGAATCAGTGTAGGATCACTTTAATGTTAATGATGCATGACTATTGGAGAACCGTGCTTGCTGCGGACAAGATCAAACACCCAGTGAGGCTTTTTCATCTCTGACAATATGATTCCATATATGGTAAATATAAATAATAAGAAAAAATAATTGATTAGAAAACTCGCGAGGAACAAAAGTGGGCAATGTTCCAGTTTATGCACGGCTGCAATATTGTAGATTCAGGGCTTGAAAATGAAGCAGACATCTACTAGCCTGAGGGCTTCTTTATACAGGCATGGACTAGAGGGAGGTAGCATATGAAAGTCATAGGGGAATAGAGAAGACATTTGTTTTATTTCTGGCTTTTTCACTGACTTTCTGTGTGAATTAGGCAACTAACTTCAGTTCTCTGTGCCTCAGTTTCTCTATCTGTAAAATGGAAACCATTCTGCTTGTTCACCTCAGCTTTGAGATCTAAAGATATTAAGTGCTAACTATTACTACTGTGTCAGCATAGCTTCTAAAGGGGTGGTTTCCTCTATCATTAATACATAGCAAAGGCCATCCTTTAGCCCAGGGATTGGCAACCTTTGGCATGTGGCCTGTCAGGGAAATCTGCTGGCGGTTCGCCGTTCCAGGCCAATGGGGGCTGCGGGAAGCAGCGGCCAGCACATCTCTCGGCCCATGCCACTTCCCGCAGCCCCCATTGGCCGGGGACGACGATCCACGGCCAGTGGGAGCTGCCATCAGCTGAACCTGCAGACGCTGCAGGTAAACAAACTGTCCCGGGGTGTCAGCGGATTTCCCTGATGGGCCATGTTCCAAAGGTTGCTGATCCCTGCTTTAGCCTGAAGAAACATTTGGAAGGAGTTGCAGAGCCAGTTGAAGAGCAAGAGGGCCAGCTGAGGAGAGGGGTGGGGGCCTATTGTTATAACCGGGACATGGGCAGTCAAACCTAGTGGTTGGAGCAGGAGTCGGGCTCAGGAGTCATTAACCCAACCCAAGAGTCAGAGCTGGAATCAGAATCAGGAGTCAAGCTAAGGATCAGAGCCAGAGAACAGGGTCAGGAATCAAGAGCAAAGCAGGAACCACAGGCGAGAACAAGTCAGGTAGTGGAAGGCAGGTTCTGTAGCAGCAGCAAGCCAGGAACTAACTTGTTGCACAGACAACTTCCTGTGTCTCCTTCTGGTTTAAATTGTGTACCCGGCATAGTCAGGGGCTCTGGAGCTCCTCTAATCAAGTCCTTGAGGGCGCTACCATTAGTGGAGCATAAGGCCTTAGGGCTCCAATTCTCCAGTCATTAGAAGAGCTGTTGGGTGGTGCTGTGGCAGCGGAACACAGGCCCGGGGTTCAGGACTCTCATATCCTCACACCTACGAATCAAAAAGCTACATCACAACGAAAGCCTGCAAGTCTTTGATCTCTGACATGTTCATGACATGCTGCTAAGGCAATGTGTTGGGATTAAGGGGTTAATTATTTGGAATGAGGGAGGGACATGGGGAGGGCACTTCTTGGATTGGCTTATCCCAGGCTATGAAAACAAAAATTGGTGAATGAGTTTTGCAAACTCCAGACCTGTATATAAGGTTCCCCCACCCCAATATAATTTTTTTCTTTCTTGCATATTAATATTTGCAACCAAAACACAGCATTCCCTCAGTGGTGTTACCATCCATTGACTGTTCCAGTGAACAGTCATCATACTCTTATATAATCATTGATGTCAAGTTAAATATGGTCATTCCACTGTTGTAAATTTCATTAATATGATGCCATTTTTGCTGGCTTGTCAACTGCTCTCTATAAAAAATTACAAGATATAATGTTCCACTGTGGTAGGGCAGATAACCCACTCCATGGCACATGCTGAGCTGAACTGCAACCTCAGAACAATCATTTAGAACATTGGTTTATAATCTCATGAAGAGGCATGTGCACTTTGCCTAAAAATCAACAGGGTATTTTATCTGTGTAAAAATTAGGATCATTAGCTATAGGGCTGCTCTATTGTTGAGCAAAATAATTGCTAATAATGAATGAGACATAAAAGGGCAAAATCCTTTGGATTGGGCATGCTGCACTTGGTGCAGCTCTGAGGTATGGCATGGGGATGTTATAAAGGTTGCTGTGAACCAGCTTTTTGTTAAGCTTGTCCTGGAGCGAGCAGGGGCAAAGTTGGTCCCAGGTGCACAGGACAGAGTATCTGGAAACAAGCCAGAGGTTGCAGTTCACTAAGTTTATCCTTCTCTCTTGGCCATGCCCCCAACACATCCCCTCCACCAGGCGCAGCAGGAAATGGGAGCCATACATCTATTGGGGATTCTCCCACACCAGAGAAATCCCCAAGAAAGTGGTTAACACAGAACAGCCTTAGCAGAGACCAGAAGCTTGTCCATGGTCTAGTAGTCAGGACACAGGACTGAAAAATAGGTAGGATAATAGTTACTTGCTCCATAAATGTATTGTGAGGATTAATGAGCTATTTGTGTTCCTAAGTGGAAGAAGGTGACAACCAAATAAATATTAAGTAAGTACCAGTGTCGAAACTCTTTGATGTATTATTATAAATTATTTACATTTATGAAGTGCCCAAAAGCATGTCTGTACAGTTAAGCAGAACAAACACAAAGAGGAGATCTCTGCTCCGAGGAGCTTATTGCCAAAAGTTTTGATCCTATGAAGCCTTGCACACCTGCTCAGCGTTCTGCATTGTGAGCAGCCCCATTAGGGTGACCAGACAGCACGTGTGAAAAATCAGGACAGTGGTTGGGGGTAATAGGTGCCTATATAAGACAAAGCCCCAAATATCATGACTGTCCCTATAAAATCAGGACATCTGGTCACCCTAAACCCCATTGAGGACTGTACCATGGTGAAGACACCTCCTGACCTTGTTGCTATTCACAGCCTCCTATGTAGATTATTAATACCTCTAGAAGGAACAATCTGTTCTAAGCGGAGTGTGGGTGTCAGCTGATGGCTAGAAGATGGGTGCACTTTGGCAGTACATGCATGTGTCCATTTGTGGCAGGTCTTTGTGGCAGAATTTGGTCCATATTTTTGTTTCCAGTTATTTATTATTATTCCTTTATTACCATCCTCAGAAACATTAACAAGCCCGAGAAACTGGCTCTTAGCTGAATAGAATCTTGGCATGTGCAGGAGAAGAATCTCCCTGCTTCAAGGACAAATGGAATTTCACAGTGAAAGAACAACATTCAGTGGCACCTTGAACTCAGAGAGGTAAGAGAAAAGAGAGAAATATGAAACTACTGTATCTATGTTGTATCGGTACAATATATGCACAGATATGTTATAGCTGTAGTGCATTTTACTTCATTTCTGGTTTCCATCCTATATATCTTTGTGTATTTTCAGTGACACCATAAATTTACAGCAGTGACCCTGTTCTTTTCTGCCTGAAGACTTCTCCAGTGACTAGATTTCTGTTTATTTTGCAGTCACACCCAATTATTCTAAATCACTTTGTAAACTTGTTGTGTGTGTGTGAGGGGAGAGAACTTTAGATAAACAATAACTAGTGATACAGTAATATGCAGTATGCATGCATGCATACAATAGATTTAGCTACCACTTCAGTTATTCTTCTCCCCAGACACTCAGAAAATCTAAACACAGGGTTAATCAGGTCTGATTGAATCAGACAGTTTGGAGTGAATTCAGAATGATCATCTAATGTATTTTTCCTTGATTTGGCTCCAGTTATAATTGTTGCATATATGTGTGTGCTTTAAATCTAGTGTTAAAGATTACTCTAGATGGAGCTATGTGTATTCTCTGCTTAATGGGAAATCCTCATCACATCTCTATATGCTATCTCTGAAAAGAAACTTTAAAGAAGTTGGTTGTGGGCTGCAGCATTTAACTCATGGATTCCTCCAAACTCCAAAGTGTGCTTAAACTCAAATCCACATCTTTCTCATCTCAGATAGTAGAGCTGCAGAAAGGGGTTTGATTTGGCCAAGAAGACTATGTTTTGTGCAGTGCCTAGCTCATTTAATTCCTTCTGTCCCAAAACCACTTCAGTGAGGTTCATTTTACCCATGCACGTTATTCTATCCCTGTGGTGGAGAAATTCACCCTCCTCTGATGTGGAGCTGGTAGGAAGCCAACTGCCAACATGTGTTGATATAAATATATTTGCTAGGGTAATGATCTCTTGGTAAACATCTGTACCCAAGAACATGATGTGGATTTTGGGTGATCCCTCGAGGAGTTTGGTCCCATAAAAATAAGAAAACACAAACCTGTGACACATATAGCCCAGCTTCCAGATGTTCCATGCTGTTTAAAGGAAAATTATACCATCTGCCTCAGACCAACACTGAAATAAACGAGACACAGGAAATTCAAGAATATGTAATCCCCAAAATAAACCAAATAGTTAAAAAATAAAAATAAAATAGCAACATACATTTTATTTGATCTACACTTTCATTTGTGAATCATCTGCTGAGATTTTTTATTTTAAACCCTGAGTGCTTAAACTTAGGCATTTTATGTTGTATTTAGGCACCTAAATGAGGGTGAACTTGTTTTCAGAAGTGCTGAGCACCTGAAAGTCCCACTGATGTCAGTGGTAGTGACAGATGCTCAGCACCTTTGTAGATATTACCTTAGATTAGAGGATTACTGTATTTCTTTTTATCAATAGCTCTATGGCCAGATCCTGCTCCCGCTGAAATCAATGGCAAAGTTCTCTTTGACTTCAATGGGAGAAAAAGCAGGAACTACGATCCTGATCCTAAAATCCTTAATCTCATGAGAAATCCTCAGTCATGTAGGCAATACCATTAAAGCTAGTGGGAATCACTTATGTGAGTGAGGATTATTTGTGTAATAAGAAGTTGCAATGGTGGGATGAATGATGGGATTCTATGAACATTTTCTATGTGCAGGTAGAGATTAAAATTTGTTATTTGGAAAGAAGGGGGCTTAAATCTCACCTGAAAAATGGTATTGGCAGCAGTATTGTAGCTGCCATTGGTTAAATGCAAACTCAGAGAGAAAAGCATCATCTACTGAACCAGCATCACCACTTCCTCCTGCACCTGGAGGTCTCTCATCCAGATTCTGACCTGACCATACCTTGCTTAGCTTGTGAAATCTGATGTGATCACAGTATAAAGTAGCATGGCTAAGGAAAATACATACTACAGTGTCTAGCACAGTGTTTCTAAACCCAATGAGTTGTGATCCTCTGGGGGGCATCACAAAAAGGTAATCGGGGGTCACAAGGTGTAGACAATTGTATGACAATCTAAAGCAAAGAAAAACTTATTCCTGGCTCTCCACACACTGGTACTCTTGAAGTATTCTCTGTCAACATCCCAAAACACACACACACAAATTCTATAGGCTGATCATTGTTATCATTGATACATTTTTACTCTTACTTTATAGTAAGTGTAAGGGGATTGTGAAAATTTTTTGACTTTGAATAAGGGGCCGCCACCTGGAACAGGTTGAGAAACACGGTGGGGTTTTGGTCCATTACTGGTGCTCCAAGGTGCTACTGCAGTACAAATAATTACTAATAATAAATAATAGACTACTGCAACATTGAAGTACCATGAGGCAAATATAAGCCAAAGTGGTATTGAGTTAAGGATAAGGTTTCAGATGTAGAACCGAGTTGTACATTCTGGGGCTTACACATGCTATGCTTTCTCCCCCTGCTTTAACAATAAAAGCTTCTATTAAAACTTACTGGTGCAGGTTCTAATCGAAGCTATATGGGCCTACATTTTCAAAGATCAGTCTTAATAGGCACAACCAATATCTAACATCTGTGCATGCTAGCATTAAAATTTGCATCTGCACTTGTCCTGATGAGCTTTGCGAGTGCAAATTTTAACACTCGTGAGTGCATGATTTAAAGGGCAGGTGATAGGAGGGCGCAAACATGCACAGTTTTGTGCACACAAACATGAAGATCAGATAAAGGCCCTCACAAATATCTACCCTATGTTATTCTGTGTTCTCAACCTACTGATGTCCAGTGTGTGAGTGACACCAGTTTCTCTGAGACAAAACTCTGGTAAAGAGAACTCCACAAATAAATAGAGTAGGAGGAATCTTAAATAATGGATTACACTTTTTTTACCTACATAAACTCTGCCATAATATCAATTTCACAGTCAGAATTTTAAATAACAATAATTTATCTTGGTAATTGGAGGGCGACTGCTGGGTTTGTGTCGCGTGGGATGGAGGTCAGTGCGAGTGTACAATGAGTGCCGTGCCATGGAATGAGTTATGGTTTTGAGGGATATGTCCAGGATGCTCATTTTGGGTTTTGGCATTTAATTCCTTCCTCCCATTAAAATATGTGGGAGGAATTGGATGCCAAAATTTTCACTGTATATGATGTATAATTTCTCCCTTGTACTTCAGTGGGAGGAACATCAGACCCCAAAATGATTATGTGCATAATGGCAAAGAATGTATCACTGCATTTTTTAATGTCAGTTGTGGGAGTTCCTGGAAGGGTAAAATATTGTTGTCACCTTTCCCGCTTCTTGGTTTCCAGTGGGACTTTTCCACACAACCCCAAGGATCCTACCAACCCAGAACTTTAATGCTCTCCAGAACTTTGGTGCTGGCTCAGTACCATTTAGATAAGCGAAAGCAAAACTCTGGATATGAACATATCCCCAAACGTCAGAAAAATTCCAATCCTGGTCTAGATCCAAATAACAAGCCTTGGCATTTGTATAGAACTATGTGTGTTCAAAGTAATGTTTTAACAATCCTCACAATGCCCCACTGAGATGGCTCACTGCTGTTATGCCTGCTTTACAGATGGAAAAATGGAGGCACAGAGTGATTAAGTGACTTGCTCAAGGCCACAAAGCAACCATAGCAGTGGCAGAGCTGGGATTAGAACCCAGGACTTCTTCCCATTGGGCTGTAGTTTCTCTGCATCTTGTTACAGACAGAGAGTTTTCCACTGCTGTTTTTTGGTTGGTTTTAGTACATTTGATTTCAGATGAAAAATATATGCTTGGTTCTGTCCAGACACATCCATCCTCTGCCCCCAGTCATGCCCAAGATCCTCTACGCTTATCTGGTATTTGTAGCGGGTGTGGGATGTGGCTCAAAACGTGCAGGATTCTCCATGGCCATCTGCAATATCTGTTTACGCACCATAGGTTAGGCAAGGCAAAACTCCATTCTGTGCCTGTTTGCACATCATGGAACCAATGCAGGCTCGGCTCCCTCCAATGTTTTGTGACTCTTCTTTTGTGGACTTTTACTCAATATGGGCCTGATCCAAAACCCATTGATATTAATGGGAGTTCTCCATTGACTTCCATGGGGTTTGAATCAGGCCTTCCATTATGTGTTCCTATCAAACAAAGTGTCTCCTCCTAATCTTCTTGTGGTCTCTGGGAGTTTTGCCATTGTCTTCACTGGGAGTAGGACTGGATCCAAGATGAGCAGAAATGAGGTGAATGAATAGTCTTATTTTGCTAATTCCAATCCTCTGTTAAGCTTCCAAAGTAATGCAGCTTGTAAAGAGGCATACAGAACTGACTAATTTAGCAACAGTTATAATTATTCTAAACACATTAAGTTTCATTAAATGTTATCAAGATTCCATTGTAATTTATTTGATTAAATAGGACTTGCTTTCTCTCTAAAAATGATTTATAATGTGTTTTTAATAGGAAGAGTTTCCAAAAGGCTTTAGGATGTCAAAGCAGTGCTATTAATCTTTTTATTAGCATTTTGAAAATGGCATGTGTTGCCTGATTGATAGATATTTGTTAGCATTCTCCTTTTCTACAGAGGATTATCACTTTGACCCCACTATTTTTAGTATACTGTAGCTCTATAATTTTCATATAAAGGCCAGAATCTAATATTAGTTACACAGTGGAGTTAATCTGGATTAGAACTGGTGTGACTGAGAGTAAAATTTGGGTCAGTGTTTCAAAAGACTTCAGATGGCAGCTTGCTTTGTATCCCATAGTCAAATTGATCAGAAAATACATTTATTTTTTTCATATAACTTCACTTTTTTTTAACCTCAATAAAACAGCACGATTCCTTTAATTTAAAAAGAACACAAAGAAAGTGCTATTTTTTTCTACACACTGTGACAAAAAAAGAAATCCCAAGTAAAATTTAATATTAAGGTTCTATTTAGGAATGATGGGCCAAATTTGGCTTTCCGCTACACCACTGATTTCAATGGAGTTACTGCAGATTAACGC